GGGGGATGGTGGTTCCACATTTTAGACAGAGGCCAACCGGTTCTCATGAGGTGTGAAAGAGGCCATCTTCACCAACTGGAACAACCATCCATGAATGGGGGAAGGGCCTTCAACACCATCTGTCACCCATATATGATGATGTTTTAACATCTCTACCTTGGTGATTTGACAACATTTTACACTTTCATCCATGTACCTGGAATGATTGACACCTGTCCCAGACTTCCTTCCCACCATGGGATTGGAAGTCTGGAATGTGACTGAGGAACGTGACTTGACACTACCAGCTCTCATTTCCCATCCACAGATTCTTAAACTGTGTCTTCTTCTCATTTAAGGTGGGAATCTTCCGCAAGTCTGGGGTGAAATCTCGCATTCAGGTCCTACGACAGATGAACGAGTCTTCTCCTGACAATGTCGGCTATGTGGGACAGTCCGCATACGATGTGGCCGACCTGCTAAAGCAATATTTCAGGGACCTGCCGGAGCCCATCTTCACCAGCAAACTGACCGACACCTTCCTGCAGATTTACCAGTGTAAGTGTCCCTATACGGGAGCTTTTTATTCTGTCCATTCGGTCCTAAGATTTACACATCTCAGCCCTGTCTGGTGGGGATGGGTGGGGGGCTTCTTGTGCTGTCACTCTTTCTTAGTCTAAGCACTGAGGTAGGCTCTCCCTGACTTGCTGCAGCTTCTAATGCCCATTGTGAGAAGATGGCGGATACTTAATGGTCTATCTATTACATGAAATACATTCAGCGTTGACTTCCATTCTGCTTCCCTTTTCTAGATGTCCCCAAGGAACAGAGACTACGAGCGGTGCAGGCAGCGATTCTCCTGATGCCGGATGAGAACCGAGAAGTTCTACAAACTTTACTGTACTTTCTGAGTGACATTTCCTCCGCTCAGGAGAACCAGATGACTCCAGGAAACTTGGCCGTCTGCTTGGCACCTTCGGTCTTTCATCTTAATATCTCTAAAAAAGAGACAGCTCCTCCTAGGTAAGCTTCATCTATGGTCTGATAACATTTCATTACTGTCCTGTTACCACTTAAATGTTTGGGAACTAAACTCAACTTTGGGAACTAAACTCAACTTTATGGAGCTGGCTTTGTACGCAGAGGGCAGTCATGGTGGAACAGAAAAAGGCCTTCACCAAACTGTTACCACAAGATTGGAAAAACACAAATGTCTACAATCTCTTTGTATGATAGAGTCTTAAGAGGACCTTCACTGGAGACACCTGAACTTCACCATTGGGAGGGGTTCTAATTCATCCCAAAGGTGTTCAGTAGGGTTGAGGTTAGGGCTCTGTGCAGGACATGAGTTCCTCCACCAAACTGGTCACTCCATGTCTTTATGGAGCTGGCTTTGTACGCAGGGACAGTCATGGTGGGACAGAAAATGGTCTTCACCAAACTTACCAAGCTGGAAGAGCACAATTGTCTAAAATGGGGGTAGGCAACCCTCAGCCTAGGTGAAACCACAAGCCCCATGAGGCATTGGGAGCCACAGGCACCAGTCCCAGAGGTGAAGGCAGCACCCAATGATATGTTAGTCTTTATATTTTTAACTTGACTTTCTGATATCTTCTGGCTGGTTGTCTGCTGGGTTTTCTTCCACTCTTTGGTGCTGATTTGATGACACCGGTGCCTTTCTTTTTTTTATCAATGCACTAGGAGTGTGCATTGATTCCGAACCTAGGATGTCCTGGGGTTAGGGGGTACCATTGCACCCCATATGAATTGGATTCTACTTTTTCAACCATAATCCATTAATGAATCAAATCCAGCATCTTAATCACATCTGTTCCAGTTGACCGTAGGTCAAGGGTAGTCAACCTTTGGCCTCCTGGCTGTGGTGACATTACAAATCCCATAATTTATCTGCCCCTGGTAGTCATGCCATGGCCGTCAATCTTGCAACGTCTTATGGGAATTATCGTCCCACAACAGCCGGGGGGCTAAAGTTTGGCTACCCCTGCCCTATGTTCATGTCTTTCCTCAATCTTCTGGGTTGGGTTATGCTGGGCATCATTCAGCCTGGACGATTGAGGGCACCTAGTGGCCAAAAAGAGGTACTGCGGGGGCAACTTCGGATGAGTGTTGTGTTTGTAGCTCGGAGTTGTGCTTCAATATTTTCTATTCTTCCTTTTTTGTGGGGGGGGGGGGGGGGGAATAATAGACTCCTATTCATTTTGGTAATGGCACAAGCTCCAGTATGTGGTAAACTCTTGGAGTAGCTCCAGTAAAGTGCTGAGACCATAAGAACCGCTAAGTAATGTTGTGTGCACCACGTTGTGTTTGGCGCAGCTTACCAGCTGTATAAATAGATTGAAATAGAAGGTCTAGCTGCTCACTGACCTAATTTTTAAGAGCATTGCTTTGTGCCCCCGCAGGATCATGCAGAGAAGAGGAACATCTGGAAAACCTGATCACAAGGATCTCAGTGAGAACTTGGCAGCCACTCAGGGATTGCTCCATATGATCACCGAGTGCAAGAAGCTCTTCCAGGTGGGTGTATAGGAGCACATTGACCCTTTATGTCCCACAGCTCTGCTCTCTCTCGTACGGGGTGACTGGTCTCGTCAACTTAAGTTCAAACAGAAAAGACTAGATGTTTACCTCTAGAGGGACTAGAAATGGGTTTTGAGGAACCGCTACATGTTCACATTTCAACCATATGTCCTCTCTTGTATTGTACAGGTCCCTCACGATATGATGCTCCAGTCCCGGAACTCTTATGTAGCTGCAGACACCCAGCCGCTGTCCCTGGAGGATTTCTGTGTGAGCTCCGCTGGAGAAACCCGGGATCTTTCTTCTCTTCTGGACAGCAGCATCCAGAATCTTCTCCAGGAGTCTTCAGAACGCTTTAAAGGGTGGACGGCCATGCCTGGCCCAGAGAACACGGAGCTGTCATGTAGGAAGGTGAGGCTTCCTTGGGGCATGGAGACCTTGTGTTGTATTAATGATGGGAGTGCAGAAGACAACCGCTCTATCCATCTGGAGAAAGTGACTGGATGGCTTTTCTTGGTGACTTCATTGTTTTTTTAATGTTCTGAAGGCCATAAAATGGTTTTCAATTAACACTTTAGGCATTTTAAGCATTTTTTTTTTTCATTGACTCTCCTAATCCAACCTCATTGTGAAATTAAAATCGCCTTCGGCCCATCACAGCTAAGCATATGTGAAAGAACAATAGACAAACCTCCAAGCTGCAGTTGGAGCTTTCCTTACGTTGATCCTTCTCGGTCATTTAATGTGGGCGAACTGATGCATTGTGTTTTGTAATTATACACCATATGGCCAAAATAATTAGAACAGCCCAACATTTTTTTTAAACCTTCAAATGTTTTAGTTTTTATACTTATTTCAGACAATGAAATTCCATCAATCGATGGAGATCAGGTGTCTCAAGGATATTCCCTCAATCGATGGAGGACAGATGTCTCCAATATTATTCCCTCAATCGCTCGATGGAGGTCAGGTGTCTCCATGATATTCCCTCAATCGATCGATGGAGGTCAGGTGTCTCAATGATAGTCCCTCAATTGATGGCGGTCAGGTGTCTCCAGTGAAGGTTCTGTTACCACAGAGTTGGAAGAGCTCAATTGCCTACAATATCTTTGTAGTAGTAACCATTTTGGTGAAGACCCTAAGCCTGTTCCACCAAACTTTTTAACCTGTGAAAGATGCACTATATTGACAAAGGTATGTGGTTCCCCCTCCAAATGATTGAGTTCAGGTGTCTCCATTGAGGGTTCTGGTAATACTCCAACATACAAAGACATTGTAGACAATTGTGCTCTTCCGACCTTGTGGTAAGTTTGAAGACCCTTTTCTTTTCCACCATGACTGTCCCCTGTGTACAAAGCTAGCTCCATAAAGACATTATTTGGCCCGCTTGGTGTGGAGGAGCTTGAGCGTCCTGCACAGAGCACTGACCTCAACCCTACTGAACATCATTGGAATAATTTAGAATCCCTCCAAATTATGGGGTTCAGGTGTCTCCAGTGAAGGTTATGTTAATTCTCCATCATACAAAGACATTGTAGACAATTGTGCTCTTCTGACCTTGTGCTAAGTTTGGTGAAGACCCTTTTCTGTTCCACCATGACTGTCCCCTGTGTACAAAGCCAGCTCCATAAAGACATGGTGTGATCAGTTTGTGACGGCCACTCAAGTTCCTCCACACCAGAGCCCTGACCTTATCCCTATGGAACTTAGGAACACCTTATGCAACATAGGTATTCAATAAGAATTATTGAGTTGAGGTGCCCAAAGTCGGTTCCATAAAGACGAATTGGATGAATTGGAAACGCAGATTGTGACTGGGGACTGGGGACATTTTGGCAGTTTTTATACATCGTTTCCTTTGTATAATTATTACAGTCGGCGCTATAACTTCATGAATGCTTCTGATCACATGTCTTTGTAGGCTGGTGATGGGAACCCTTTGCGTCTATGGAAGGTCTCCACGGAAGTCGAAGCTCCGCCAAGCTCATTACTGCATCGTGTTTTAAGAGAGCGCCACCTATGGGATGATGACCTCTTGCAGGGCCGAGTGGTGGAAACCTTGGAGCAAAATACCGACCTCTTCCACTATGTGACAGACAGCATGGCTCCACACCCGAGGCGGCAATTCTTAGTACTGCGGTATGTGTATACTCGACATTGGTTATTTCAAAGGAAGCAATTTCAGGAGTCGGTAGAACTGTACAAGACTGTTGGGAAGGGCGGAGGTCAGCTAGGAGACTGTTGGAAGGGCGGAGGGCAGCTAGGAGACTGGAGGGAAGGGCGCAGGGCAGCTAGGAGACTGGAGGGAAGGGCGCAGGGCAGCTAGGAGACTGGAGGGAAGGGCGCAGGGCAGCTAGGAGACTGGAGGGAAGGGCGCAGGGCAGCTAGGAGACTGGAGGGAAGGGCGCAGGGCAGCTAGGAGACTGGAGGGAAGGGCGCAGGGCAGCTAGGAGACTGGAGGGAAGGGCGCAGGGCAGCTAGGAGACTGGAGGGAAGGGCGCAGGGCAGCTAGGAGACTGGAGGGAAGGGCGCAGGGCAGCTAGGAGACTGGAGGGAAGGGCGCAGGGCAGCTAGGAGACTGGAGGGTGAAGGGTCGAGGGGAGCTAGGAGACTGGAGGGAAGGGCGCAGGGCAGCTAGGAGACTGGAGGGAAGGGCGCAGGGCAGCTAGGAGACTGGAGGGAAGGGCGCAGGGCAGCTAGGAGACTGGAGGGAAGGGCGCAGGGCAGCTAGGAGACTGGAGGGAAGGGCGCAGGGCAGCTAGGAGACTGGAGGGAAGGGCGCAGGGCAGCTTTGATATAAATGATCTCATTGGTAGCGGTATAATAGAACGTCTTCCATCTATGTTGTCCTGAGTACACCCAGTAACGCATCATTCTCTTTCTGTCCGTAACAGTAAATGGCGCTCGGACCTTCCCAGGGGAGGATGCGTCTTGGTATCCACATCCATGGACCATGCCACGGGCCAACCAGAAGAGGGGGTTCAAGCCGTCATTGTCAGCTCGCAGTATTTAATGGAGCCGTGTGGAATGGGACGGAGCAGGCTGACTTACATATGCCGAGCAGACCTCAGGTAACGTTATCGAAATATGTTTATTAAAAAATTTTTGAAGGTAAAAGGAGCTCAAAAAAAATTATCGCGTCTACGTTTTGGGGGAAAATGTTTTGTTTTAATAAATCGGTAGAAAAAGAGAAATAACACATTTCGTGGGGTTCAGAGAGTCGCCCTTCATCATGGCTACAACCGAAGGAAGAAAAATATAAACGTTCCTATGAAATATAAAATTCATGTTGGAAAATCATTTTTTATTTAAAAGAGAGAAAAGGGAGAAGAAAGAACATAATAAATATTCTTCTAAAGGGAAATTTCCGTTTAAGAAAAAAATAAATTAATAACTAAAACAATACATGCAAACATGGTCCAGTTTATTTAAATATCAGTGTAACATAAAATAAAGGTCAAAGAGGTAAACTTTTTTAAGTAGAT